GGGAAAATCGTCTCTGTTCTCTGGCCACAGTTTACCCTTCTATAATATGGGGACAACGCTAATGTCTCCAACACAGGGCTGGTGCGAGGACAGACGGGTTGTGGCTTGCCGCAGAGCCAGGGAAATTGGAGGCTGAATGAATATTAACTATTTTGCTGTTATCACCATCGTCCAAGAATCCCTGAGTCTTTAGACAGGAGGGATGCTGTTTAGAGAAGTGAAAAAGGATTCAGCCCCTTTGGGAGACTGGGCTCAGCGGGAGGGGCTCTTCCAGTTCGAGGCGGCCCAGGGCTGGAGAGCTCCAGGCAGCTGGGGGTAGAAGTGGGGTAGGAGCAGGGCCAGGTGGGACTTGGGCTTGTGGGGAGGTGGGCTGGGGCAGAGGGGAGCTCTCAGTTCTAGCCCATTTCAGGGGCCAGTGAGTCTCAAACTTGGAGCGGGATGTTAAATTCGCCCAGTCTGACTATCCAGTCTGGCTGCCCCTGCCCTTGTCAAACACCCTCACCGTCAGCCTTGTTTGTCACGTCCTCCACCCCCCCATCTCCCACCTTCCAGCTCCTTCCAGCCCCAGCAGACCTCCCCTCCCCGCCCCCCCGGCCTGCAGTCAGGCCAACCTGGCCTTGAAGTCCCCCTCTGCAGCTTTCTGGCTGCGTGACCTCAGGCAAGTGCCTTAACCTCTCTGAGCCTCTTGGTGATGTTGGTTTCTGCCTGGCAGGGCTGCCGGAAGGATCAGACGAGGTGGCACGTGGAAGGAATACGTTCCCCAGCGCAGGGCCCCGTCCCCTCCCCCGCCGTGCAAACATCCCTGGGTAGCAGCAGGGCCCCCACCCCAGCGCCCTCCCCCAAAGCCTGATCCCACGGGCGTGGGCTCGGGCCCAGCTATCTGTGCTCTCCGACACCCCAGGTGGCTCCGGGCCAGGCCGGGATGCGATGTTGACACTAGGGAGCCTCCACCCCGAGCCCAGCCCAGTGCTCACCTGGGGAGCCCGTCCTCTGGTGCCTCGGGCCCGGCCGGCAGTGGGGACAGGAGCCGGCCGCTGCCCTCCGTCCAAAGCGGAAGTTCTCTTCTCCAGAGGCGGGAGGGCTTCCCCTGACCGTCCCCTCCCCGTCACCCCATCTCCCCACCCTGCTGCCCTCAGGCAGTTTCAGGTCCCATTTCCGCAGCGCAGGGGGGTTTACTGTAAAGGGGAGGGTGGGGGTGAGTCTGGTTCCGCCGACTCAGCAGCCGCGGGAGGACAGGCCGTCCTGGGGGACGTCCGCCGCTGGCAGCCTGCCCGCCAAGGCCCCCCGACCTCATGATCTCTCGGGGGGCAGGGGTGCCCCGCAGTGATGATGACGCGGCCGGCCTGGTGCCTGAGCCTGGCATTGGAGTCAGAGACCCCGACTCGTGTTCCGGCTCTGCTGCTTACCGGCTAAATGTCCCAGCCAAGGGAACCCAGGGAGCCCCAATTTCCTCGGCTATGCCATGGGACCATGATCGTGCCTGCCCGCTCTACAGACCTCACGGGCCACTGGGGGGGATAATGGATGGGTCGATGGAGGAGAAAGGGAGTGTGTGTATGGGGGGTGGTACACTGTAAAGTGCTGTGCACTTGCTATTATAGTTGTTCCTATCACTTCATGTCTCAGGCTTCCCCTTTCTGGGCTCATCTCTTCTGCTTCCTTCCCCTCTGTACCCTTGCTCTTTCCCTGTTCTGAGAAAATAATCTAGTAATGAATTTTAAATGTGCTTGTTATTTATTTATACGCTCCCTCTGCTTCCAGACGGGGGCAGGGGCCTGTTGCTTCCTGTGGGTCCTGGAGTCGCACCAAGTTAGGGCTGGACAGGCCGAGTGGCCTCAGCCCATTCCCCTCATCACGGTATATCTGGGGAAACTGAGGCCCAGTCTGGGGAAACTGAGGCCCAGAGGGGCGAGCCATTATCTAACAAATATTTATTGTTAGCCTCTGTGTTCGAGGCACCGGAGAGAACCCCAAACGGATCAGCTGTGGTCCTTGTCCCCGTGGAGCTTCCCTTCTGCTGGGGGACCATCGAATGGCACAAGGCTTCGCGGCTCCTCTGATGAACGTCACGAAAAGAAGTGACGGGTGGAGCCCACCGCGTGTAAGTGGCCAATGCAGGACTCGAAGCCGGCCTTCCTGGCACTAGGTACCAGCCCTGTGGCTGTGGCTGCCACCGGGCAGCGATGCCCCCCGGGGAGGGCTGCCGGCATCCCGGGAGCTGGAGGGCCCTCTTCACACGCTTGCGTGCAGGCGGGAAATCCGGTGCATGGTGACGGGTGGACCTCATGTGTTCACTGCAGTGGGTAATAGGGAGGAGAAGACGAGTTTATAAAACTGGAAGGTCCCTGGGCTCAGCCGACTACAGCCCCAAAGGGATAGGGCCAGGCGCAGAGGAGACAGCGCTGGGATCCAGGGCAGGAGAAGGGAGTGAGTCTGTCGCAGGTCCAGGGGTCCAGCGGAGGGCTCCCAAGGCCACCTGGGCCTCTAATTCCTGGTGGCTGATGGCAATGGGGAAGGATCAACTTGAACTTGGGGTAGAAGCAGCGGGACTAAGAACAGGCAGCGCCAGAGAGGTGGGTTAAGAGCCTGGGCGTTGGAAGTTTGCAGTTTGACTCCAGCTCTGCCTCTCCCTGGCCACGTGGCCTCGGGCACACCTACTGCCCTCCGTTTCCTGGTCTACAGTCAATAAGTGGGAGGCCTGAGCGCCGATCTCCCGGGGCTGCGGGGTGCCAGTGAGGTAGCCCTGCATGTCCTGGGCCCAGCCCTTGGCAGGTACCCCGTGCAAACATGGGAGCGGTATTATTTATGCGACAGGATCCTTGCAGCCTGGGAGCAAAGGGGCTGCGCCTGGATGGAGGGGGAGGGCAGGACCCAGGGGTCAGGGGCTGAGGGGTCCCTGGGCCTTGACCCCTGCGTGGGAGTCACTCCGTCTCTGCACCCAGAAAGTCGCTGGCTTGCCTCTCTGATAGAGAGGGGTCCCTGACAAGAGCAGAAAAAGAAAGCCAAATCCCTCAGCTCCCCGTGGTCTGAAAGGGGGTCCTGGCCAGTTTGGGGCGTCTTGTTCTGGTCCCCGCCGCACCCCACCCCTGCCGTCCTGCTCCACGTGGCTCTCGCCCACCTCCCCTCGGCGCCGCGGCCGGGCTGGCGTCTCCAAACGCCTGCCTCTCCTGACGAAGAGAGAGCAACAAGGAAACAATCATGGAAAATAAAAATGGCACAGAAATCGTCGTTTCCAAAGTGCAGGTTTCTGATCTGACACTGCGGCCTACATGAACGGCGTATTGATTTTTTAAACAAAAGAGAAATGAGAAGACAGATGTGTCACGCGCGGCGGTGCCGGGCGGACCGCTAAGTGGCTGGTGGCGGCGGAGAGCCGTGAGTGCCGCAGCGTGAGGCGGGTGACCCGAGGCCCGTCCCCGCCAGACGCACCCGCACGCGGCACACCAGCCAGGCCCCGGCCCTGCCTCCCTCGCTGTGTGTGTGTGTCCGTGTCTCCCCCTTCCCATCGCACACGTTTCTCGTGCCGCTGCCATGTGCCGGGCATGCGCCCAGGGCGCCCTCCCCCAAGGACGCTCGCAGTGCGGTGGGGACGCAGACCCATCGGCGGGGAAGTGCACGGGAGCCAGCAGCCGGGCCGGGCGCTGCAGGTCCCCCTGCAAGCTGCCCACTCACCCACAGGCCCGTCTGTGCCAGACTTTTATAAGACAGCCTTGGGTCCAGAAATCTGGTTTGGGTTTTTTTTTGTTTTATTTTATTTTAATTAGTCTGTAGGTTAATTTTATTCACCACCAGATTTGGGCTCTAAAGAGCTAAGAATCTGTGGTCTATGGAGGGTGCTTTGGAGACACAAAGGGGAGAATCAGGGAAGGCTTCCTGGAGGAGGTGATCTTTGTGTTGACTCCTGGCAGTTGAGTGTGTTATCCAGGTGGAGGGGGGATTTGTATGAGTGGGTTGGGGCTCTATGGGATGAAGGGACAGCATAGGCAAAGGCAGGGAGGTGTGACACAGCCCCTTTCCCAAACGGAAGAGCCAAAGTGGATGGAGTCGGTTGCAGATCTCAGCCTGGGCAGCTGCTCTTGCAGCCCGCCTCAGTCGGCCGGTGACTGCACGGGGCTTTGAGGAACCAAGTTGTGATGACAGCCAGATGGGCCGGGTCCTCCCAGGCCTGAGTGAGCCTTGGGTCTCAGTGGGCTCTGAGCCTGGACCTGAAGTCTGCATGGGAAAGTTACACTTTTTGTCTTTTGCACCTGAAACATCAAACGCTGGGCCTCCCTGGCTATCTGTAAGGATCACGGCGGCTGAGTCCGACCGTCAGTAACGTCACAGTCTGAAGTTAACAGCTTGCGGGCAGCAGTAGTTCTAGATCATCTCCTGGGGGTCGCAGAGTCTGTGTTATTCAGGGCGGGCCAGGCATGGGGGGCCCAGTTCTCTCTCTGTCTCACATCTCACTCACTGAGATGAACATTGTGAAGACTGAGCGTAATGCCTGGTGCACAGTACGTCCCCAGTGAATGCTAGCATTATGACTTTTTATCCACTCATTCATCTGCTCTGCTTCTAGTCATTCACTTACCCACTTGTGCATTCATTAATTCACCCCAACTCCCTCCTTCATTCAGCACAGATTCATTGCACGTCTTGTCTTTGCCTGCACTGTGCTCACCCGAGCCCAAAGCCCTCGGGTGGCAAGTGCTCCCCAAATTCAGCACAGACCTTGGAATTCGAACTCACTCCCGTTACCTGTGAGCTTGGTTACCTTTAAGGGCGGCAGTGCCTCTTACCCCAACAAGTGACAGCAGATGACCCCTTGGGGACCACTGGCGGCCGGTAACCGCACTTGAACGTCTCTGTCCCACCGGGCCAAATGGCGCCGGGTGTCTCGTTATTGGCAGCCGAGCTTTCCTGGGCACCGCCTGGCTGCCCCGAGTCCAGCAGCACAGACAGCTGCGGCAGAGGCCACGTCGAAGAGGTAAAGTTCAAGGACTGGGCAGGGAGGAATCTGAGCCGTGCATATTTATCGATTTAATTTTTTATTTATATATCTCCCCACCTCTTCCAAGACCTGAAACACAAAACTAATAACAATACCAGAAGGTGTTGGCTATGTGTCAAAGGGACCGTACAAGCAGTGACTCCTGAAGGAGCTCAGAAGAGGGAGAGAGCTCATGGTGGCAACCAGGGCGGGCTTCCTGGAGGAGGAGTCCATCGGGTGGCGAGAGGGCCCTGAGCGAGGGTGCAGAGAGTGGCCAGCACGGTGGGCCACGCAGGGAAGCGGGGGGAGGACGGCGTGCGGGGCCGGGCCCCCGCCCTAGTCGGGGAAGAGCAGGAAGCCGGAGAAGACGCTGTCGGAGCCCTCGGTGCCCACCATGCCGTTGTAGTCGTTGACGGCCAGCCACACCTGCTCGCCCGCCCGCAGCCGCAGCAGCACGCCGCCCGAGCTGACCTGCTTGCTGTTGGACATGTGGTCGCAGAAGGTGGTCACCTTGACGTTGCTGCGGTACAGGTGCACGCACAGGTTGGCCGTCTGCGACGTGTGGTAGACGAAGTAGTAGAGGCCGGGCACCTTGCAGGTGAACTTGCCGGTGCCCGTGTCGTAGTCCCCCTGCGGGTTGGTGATGACCGAGTTGAACTTGACCAGGCCGTTGGGCGCCGGGTACTGGGCCGTCTGCCGCGTGACCGTGAACACGGACTGGTGCTTCTGCTTGTACCTGCCCTCCTCGCCGGGTCCCCGGGGGGCCCCCTGCTGCCGGGAACCCCGCCAGCCCAGGGGGTCCCATGGGGCCGTTTTTCCCAGGATAGCCAGGCGTGCCGGGTTCTCCCTTCTGCCCCTTGGGTCCTCGAGTCCCGGGAATGGCTGGATTCCTGGAGAAAGGGCAGGCGGGAAGAAAGAGATGGGGCGGGGGACCGGGAAGAGGGACCCTGGGGTGTCCTCCAGGGAATGAGCCCTGGTGTTTGGTGTCCGGAATCTCCTTCCCGCGGATGGACCTGGGAGCCGCACACAGAGCAAGGCTCCGGCCGGAGGGGAGGGGCTAGTGCAAGCCCCGCCTCTCCACAGGCTTGCCCTCTGACCTCGTCTGAGGCGCTGCCCTGCCTCTTGGCCTCAGTTTCCACATTCGACACAGAGACGGTAGCACTAGACAGCATCAGGAGGGGTCGGAGTTGGACGGGACCTCAGAGAGTGGGCCGATGGCTGTGACTGCCAGCCGGGCACAGGTGGCAGGAGGCCACAGAGAGCTTCGTTTGGCCCGGACAATGCCTTTAAGTTTTTAAATTAGAGCCCCACGTTAACAAACTCAGAACTCACCTAAAAGTCTAGATTCTCCTTCCTTCTTGTTGAAAATCAGAAGATTGGTCAGAGAGAGATTTCTTTGGAAGTTGATAAAGCTAAAGCCTTAGCCCTTTCAAAGCCTTTTGCCTAATTTTGGATTTATGCTTTATTCAGCTTTTTATTTTGCAATAATCATACAGTCATAGAGAGTTGGGGGAAAAAAAAGGAACAGAGAGGTCCCATGTACCCTTCACCTGGTTTTCCCCAGGGGCGCATCTTGCAAAACCAAAGTGCAACGTCAAAACCGGGACATTGACATTGTGTGCTGCACAGAGCTTGTGCCGGCGTCACCAGTTTTACATGCGTGTGTGGGCGTGCGTGCATGTGTGTGTGTGTGTTGGGGGGCGTCCTAATGTAATTTTGTCACACGTGTAGATTTTTGTGACCACCCCCACCTGTGCAATAGGGCATATCTGTCATCTTGTACTGTTTTCTTAACGAGGGCCTCCGCACTGCATAGCCATCAGAGTCCCACAGACCCGTGTCCATTCCTGAGATGGGGCCGCCCCGGCCGGCGTTAGCGCGTGGGAACCGCGGGATGGAGTGGAACAGACACCGCCCCAGGAGGGGGGCTGTTCTCCCCGGCTCGCCCAGCCCCCCTCGGCCCACTTCAGCCCCGCGACAGCCGACCTGTCCAACTTCCCTTGTGGTACAGATGAGGAAACCGAGGTCAGAGACTTGCCCAAGGCCGTGCAGCCAGCACGAGGTGGAGTCAGGCCTGGAACGCAAGTCTGGCTGAATCCCGGCTGGAGCATGGGATTCTGTTTCAGCCCTGGTGATCCGAGGCCCTGTGAGACCCTTCTCCCCCCTCCTGTCTAAACCACACCCAACTCTTAAGGTTTGCCTCTTCCAGGAAGCCTTCCTTGACCACCCTGCCAGCCCTAGTGTGTCCTTTCCTCGTCCCATTTCCACAGGGCTGGGTGTCTGTGCAGACCCACTCATGACAGATTCTCTATGGCTGTGACCTGGTAGGCCCCGAGTTAGGACGCTGGGATCCAGACCCAGCAGACCTGGGCTTCAGGCCATGTGGCCTGCGCTCCCCAAGCCTGTGTTGGCTCAGTGGAGAGAAGGGTGTGCTGGGACAGGTCCCGGAGAGCGCTGCCAGGTGCGGTGGGCGGGCGTGTGCGAGGGCTGAGCGCAGTGCCGGGCACCGCACAGCACGCGTGCTCAGGAGGGTCAGGTCCTGGCGGTGGCTGTCGGTGGTGCTGAGCAGGGCAGCGTCTCGCCCTTCGTGACGGCTTCAGCAGTGGGGCGGGGGCCTGAGAGGAGCGGGGCGGGGGGCTCTGGAGCTGGACAGGGCTTTGCTGTGTGCCTGTGGGCGAGTTGCTCAATCTCTCTGAACTCCAGCTCTGACATTCGCAAAGCGGGAGTCAGTCATGTGTTCGAAGGATCGTGGCCTCGGTTTTCTCATTTGTAAAACTGAAACTGTGCCTGGTACTTCGGGGCTCAATCGTTGGTGGCCATCAGCCACTTGGGCAGTGAGACGGCCAGAGCAGCCGTGCAGGACAGGGTCCCTAAAGTGGCAGATCTGGGGCTCCATTTGGCTCACGCTGAATTGGAGGATTCCTTCCAGAATGTTGGTAAAGTCCCTTTCTATTGCCAGGGGGGAAGATGACGGTGGCAAAACCCTAAAGACGATCTGGTCCACTGGCCTCCCTCTCCCACCTGCCTCTGCCACCCCCGTCCCCTCTGCCCTGCCCCACCCCAGGCTCGCCCAGGCTGGCTGCAGACGGCGGGGCTCACTCACAGACAAGTGCATGCAGCCCTGGACTCCAGCACCCTCAGCACCAGCCGCCCGTTCCTGTCCTCAGCCCCCTTCTGTCACTCGAGGGCTCGCCCATGGGTTTCCCACGGAAGATTCCGAGACCATGATCCTGGCTTCCCGCTCCCCACCCTCTCACTACGCTCGATCCTGGGGAGGGAGGCGAGCACAGGCCCCTGAGCAAAGCGATGGCAACGGCCTGCACCTGCCGTACCTCCCTGTGCTCAGGACGGTTTTGTGCGTAAACTCAGTGCTCACAGCACCCCTGGGAAGTAGGTACCACCATCTCCCCATTGTACGGATGAGGACACTGAGGCCCTGCAAGGTTAAGCAACTTGCACAGGTTCGTGGAGAGGGCTATATTCGCCGCGTGGGCCCACCTTCCCTGGTGCGGGCACGGGGCAAGTGGTGGGGGTGTGGTCATGGAGTCACAGCCCGCAAGCACTCGAGAGTTTGCCAAAGGCTTTCGCAGCCCTGTCTCCCGGGATCCTCCCCGCCACTGCGGGCAGGTGCTCTGACGCCTCGCTGTTATCCACATTATCAGATGAAGAAAAGGAGGAGCCCGGAGGTGCACGGGCCCAAGTCCAAGGTCACCCCGGGGAGGGTGCCAAGGTCACCCTGGGGGAGGCTGAGGCCTGAGCTCTGTGGAGGGGGAGTCAGACCCCCGGGACTGAGACCCTGCCCTGCGGGCAGGCGAGGCAACAGGACACCGCCCCCTGCCTCACGTTGCTGTCCCCTGTCCCCAGGTCAGCCCAGACCCCAACCCCCGAGCAGGCCAGCAGACTCACCTGGTTCCCCCTTGGGCCCCGGCAGTCCGTCGTGCCCGTCCTTCCCGGGGGCCCCGGGCAGGCCCGGCATTCCTGGGATCCCGTAGCAGTCCGTGCCCGCCTGGGCCCCAAGGGGCAGTGCCAGCAGGAGCAGCAGCAGGGTTAGGCCAAGGGGGCGCCGGCAGCTGGGCCGCATGTCTGTCCTGGGGAAGGAGCTGGGTGGGAGAGAGCCGGGCTGCCCACCTGCCCCTCACCTGCCCTGCCCGCCCTCCCCCTGCCTGTCAGCCGTCAGGAGCCCAGCTCGTGTCCCTGCCATGGCTGGATGGGGCCGGCCCTGCAGGGAGTGGCGCGCTCCTTCCTCGCACAGACCAAGCGGTCCCTGGCACCCTGTTCAGGAAGGTGGCAGGGGACACACCGCCATGTGCCCTTACCTGGACAGGGTCCTGGCCTCGCTGGGGTGGGCGGTCTGGCCGGGTCACAGAGAGGTCCTCAGGCCTCCTCCCTCTCCCGGGCAGGAGGACACCGCCGTGCGGAGTGGACGGGCAGGGATTGTCCAGAGCGGCCGGGCCCTCTCCCCCCTCCCCCCCACATCCCCTTTCCCACAGATCTCCCTGACTCGACACTTTCTTCTGGGTGCTGAGCCAGGCTGGCCACAGTGGCAGCCCTGCCACAGCCCCTCCCAGTCATGGGTGTCTGAAATGAGGAAATGTGCGCTGGCCGCTCCGGCATCTAGGTAAGAGAGTGTGTGTGTGTGCGTGTGCGTGTGTGTGTGCGTGTGCATGTGTGTGTGCGTGTGTGTGTGTGTGTGTGTGTGTGTGAACACAGGACCTGGGGAGGCACAGTCGTCCCCCAGAATCGGGTCCAGCCCATCTAATGCCCGATGTTGGTGTTTGCTGTGCCTGAGACTCGGTTTCCTCACAGTGTCCCTGGGAGGACATTATTATCCCCATTTTACAGATGAGGAAACTGAGGCTCAGGGAGGTGTGACTCCTTGCTCAAAGCCACACACTGAGTGGTCTGTTGGTGTCCAAAGCTTTGCTCTGACCCCTCTGTTCAGCTATCCTGAGAAACAAGCCTCACACGCACCTGTCAAGTGGCAGGCTTTGTTCTAGAAACTTCCATGAGCCCCAGCCCAGTGGCCACACTTGGAGGACCTAAGGATGGCCTGGCTTTCATGGCCGCAGCTGCGACGGTGCTCAGGCCGCCCTGGCTAGAGAGTCAGGCCTGGCTTCTCCTTCCCCGAGGTCTTCAGCACACAGCCCTGGCCCCAGGCCTCGGTCTCCCCTTCCGTACACTGGGGGCCTGGCTTCGAGGGTTGCCGCCTCTTCCTTTGACGATGGTCCCACCATCCTGCCATCTCCCGCTGCTCGCCTGCCCCCCCGGCACCCCGGTCTCTGGGCCTGGAGCCCGCGTGGCTGTGAGCGGCTGTCGGTGGGGACCAGGCCGCAGAGCCGAGGGAAGCCGCCTCCCCACCCTCTCCTCCTACGGGACTCTAGGGACCCAGGGCCGCAGGCAGCAGAGGGGCCCGACCTTGACCTCATGCCTGCCACCGTGGGACCTCCCGGAGTGTGGGTCCCCCTCTGTAAAATGGGGGCTTCCTGTCGCTCCGTGCATGTGGTGAGCACAGTGCCTAGCCCTGTGCCCGGCACTGGCAGCGGGGAGCCCTGCCCCGCCTCACCCAGAGACCGGGAGACCCGCAGGGCCTCAGCCTGCCCATCTGTGCCTCCACCCTGGAACGTGGGGCTGCAGAGCGTGGGGCAAGGCCAAGGTCGCCGACACACTGGCCCTGGGAGTCCCGGGCAGGCAGAGGCCGGGGACAGCAGTATGGGGGTGGGTGCCACCCAGTCCGGTGGCACGGCTCTGTCCTCCCTCCTCACCTCGCCTGCGCCCGGCTTGTCCAGCAGGTGGCAGCCTCGGCCCGCGCTCGGCTCTCCCCTGCCCCTCCCGCCTGGCCGGCTCTGGCTCTGTCCCTTCTCGCGGGGACCAGACTTTGCCTTGGTGAGCGGCAGCGCTGGGGCGGGTGTGAGCAAGATCTGGGTGAGGGGCAGCCGGGCACTCCCTGCACCCGCCACTCCTCTAGCCTGGCCTCCTCGGCTCCTCCGGGGCCCCCACCCCTGACACTTTCCTCGAGTCCCACTGCAATGAGAGAAGCCACCCTTCGGGGCCGGCAGACCTGGTTCAGACCTAGGCCCCTCGCTTCTCTGGCTGTGTGACCTTCGGTCGGTGGCCCCAGTGTCCTCCTCTGTTCTGCTGGGACTGAAGGCACCGGTGGCTCTGGGATGTCCAGCGCACGGTTGGTGCCCAGAGATCCGTCTTTCCCCAGCCCGAGGGGTGGGGAGGGGGGCAGAGCAGGCACCGGCGGGTAGAGAGCCCAGGGCTGTGTGCAGTGACAGCGCCTGCCTCCCGAGTGTGTCTTGTGGGCGTGAAGGGTGGCTAGCGTGCATGCCGAGGCGTGTGCACGGCGTGTGCTGGGGGGGCCTCACCTGGGGGAGCGCATGCGTCTCGGTCCAGGGATGTGGGTCCACGTGCATCCCAAGGGAGGTCTGTGTGTGCATGTGTGTGATTTGTGGGTGTGTTGGTGTATACAGCACACAGATAAAACCAGCTTCCTTTGGGAAACCTCACGGGACATTGGACATGCTCAGGACTGAGCTCCTAATTTCCTCACGCACGAAGGACATGGAGGTTTGTGGCCTTTGAGCAGCCCCCGGATGGGTTGAGTGGGACCCTGGGAAGGCACGGTGAACATTGGAGGTCCTCCCGGCTGCCAGCCCAGGCGGGGGTCCCAGCAGGCTTGCCAGGGTGCAAGCCCAGGGCCGGACGCAGGAAGCCTGGCTTTGAGGACTGCTGGGTGCCTGGGGCCAGGTGCTTCCCCGCTCCGGTCCCGCCCCCAGCCCTCCCAGCCCTCCCAGCCCAGGCGTGGCAAGGCACCTGCGTGAGGCTGGGGAGGCCGGCAAGGGTGGGGGTTACACACACAGGCCCAGGCCTCAGTAAGATGCAGGTTCAAGTCCCAGATCCTCCCCTTAGACACTAACCTGGGGCTTTACGCTCCCCTGCCCCCCGCCTCGGTGCCATCATCCGTAAGGTGGGGTCCTCATACCCTCCTCAGAGCTCGAGTGTAAAGATTAAACAGAATATAATAATAGCTAAAACCCCAAGCTCTTACGAACCAGGAACTGCTCTATGATGTTCGTATATTAAGTCATTTAATGCCCCCAACCATCCTTCGAGGTGGGTGCTACTCTTAGTCCCCCCTTGCAGATGAGGAAACGGAACTTATGTAACATGCACGTGATCAGACAACGCGTAAGTGGTGGCGTCAGGATTCAAACCCGGGCAGGCGAGGCTGCCAGGACCTGCTAAACAGGAAAATCATGTGAAACGCTGAGGCCGAGCCGGCCCCTCACGCACTCAGTGATCACGACGGCCCTCCCCCCGCCTCCCAGTGCGCAGAGCGAGCGGCAGCCACACCCGGAGCCCGGCAGCGCACAGTCAGACGTTTATTGCGGGGAGAGCTCTCAGAAACGCCCTTGCCAGGGCGGCCGGCGGGGCAGCGAGTCCTGGGGCGCTGGGAGCGCACCCCGTTTGTAGAAGCCAGAGGGCTGGGGTGGGGGGCTGGGGTGGGGGGCCCGGGCCACGCCGGCGGCTCAGGTGGACGGGAAGATGAGGAAGCCGCTGAAGACGCTGTCGGCCTCGGAGCCCTGGTAGATGCGGCCCTTGACGGGGTCCCTCTCGATCCAGACCTGGTCGCCCTGCTGCAGCGGCAGCACCGTGCCCCCCGACACCACCTGCAGCAGCCCCTTGCTGTTGGCGTCGCAGAAGCCCAGGGAGCGCCGCACCTGGCCCCTCAAGGAGGACACGATGGACAAGCAGATGTCCCACTTGGACACCACCTGGAAGGTGAAGTAGTAGTAGCCGGGCACCGCGCACACGAACCGGCCCGAGTTGTTCTGGTACCGGCCCTCCTGGTTGGTGATGACCGTGTCGAAGATGACCACGTTGCCGCCCGTCGGCGGGCTCCGCCTGATGGCCGAGAAGGCTGGCCGCGGCTGGTCCTTGATGTTCCCTGGGTTGCCTTTGATGCCCTTCAATCCTGGGACGCCACGGTCCCCCAGGGGGCCGCTGGGCCCCGGGTAGCCCACCTTGCCGGGGCTTCCAGGGGCCCCAGACTCCCCCTGGTCTCCTTTAAGGCCCCGGATGCCTGTCCGGATGCCAGGGGCCCCTGCGGGGAGAAATACCAGATCGAGGGTCCAGCGCCCACCAGTCCACAGGGAGAGGCCTGGACCCCCTGCGTCTGTGGGATGGAGGGCAAGGAAGTGCCTGGGCCTTCAAGACATCCATTCTGACTGGCTGTGTGACCTTGGGCAAGTGTCTCAACCTCTCTGAGCCTCCCCTTCATCTGTGAAATGGAGAGAAGTGTGAACTGGCACTTCGGAAAGTGTTGAGTTCTGGGAACTGCAGCACACTCTGGCTGCTCCGCTGTGCTCCTGCCCATGGCTGTTCCCCCCACACCCCTCCAGGCTGTTGACCCTACTTCCTCAGGTTTGGGGACCACATGTAGGATGCCCAGATGCAAAGTAGTGCAAGCGTCTATGCAATCCTTCTGGTCTGCCATGGACTGGAGGCTCAGGGGGATTACAGGAGACTGTCCTTTCCCACTCCGGTCATGACAGCCTGCCCCGTTTTCCATCACCCCTGGCCTTTTATTTTTTCTAGAATATGAGAGTTTCTGGAGCCTGAAGGGGCTGGGGAGAGGGAAGCAGAGGCAGAGCTGGGGGTGCTGGAAGGAAGCAAAAAGGATAGTTGCAGTCAATTGGTCCCTTCTATGTGCCAGGCCGGGTTACTTCTCCGTTTTGTAGATGAAACTTAGCTCAGAGAGGGTCAGTAACTTGCCTGATGTCACGCAGCAAGGCAGAGGCTCCTGAGTCTAAAATCTGGGGCCTAATCATGTGGCGACTGGACAATGACCAAGGGCTGGGCATTGCCTCCAGACCTTTCACACTCATTGCTCAACGCCGCCCATGCTCCAGAGGAGGGAGGTGAGGACAGAGAAGGGGTCCAGGCAGTCAGGGGATGCGGAGTCCTGGGGCCTGGGGACGTGCGCAGGGAGAAGGCTGGGCCCAGCTCCGGGGGCCAAGTGCGAACTGGAAATGCTCCCTGGGGTGGGGGCGGGTGGACTCCTGCTCCTCAGGCCACCCCCAAGCCTCCACCCTGGAGGCCGGGCCAAGGCCGGAGGAGGGGTGGGAGCAGAGCAGGCACCGCGTAGAAGCCAGGGCGTGTGGGCAGTGACATGCGCTTTGCCTCTTCGATGTTCTTGTGGCTGAAGGGTGGCGCTAGCGTGATGCCGAGGCGTGGCACGCGTTGCTGGGCCCTCACCTGGGGCGCATGCATCTCGGTCCAGGAATGGGGTCCACGTGATCCCAAGGGGGGTCTGTGTGTGCATGTGTGTGATTTGTTGTTGTTGGTGTTTACAGTCCACACAATAAAACCAGCTTCCTTTGGGAAAACATGGGATCATTGGACATTGCTCAGGACTGAGCTCCTAATTTCTCACGCACGAAGGACATGGTGTTGTGGCTTTGAGCAGCCCCCGGATGGTTGAGTGGACTTGGGGAAGGCAGGTGGAAATTCGAGGTCTTCCTGGCCGGCCAGGCCCAGCGGGGGTGCCAAGGTCACCCTGGGGGAGGCTGAGGCCTGAGCTCTGTGGAGGGGGAGTCAGACCCCCGGGACTGAGACCCTGCCCTGCGGGCAGGCGAGGCAACAGGACACCGCCCCCTGCCTCACGTTGCTGTCCCCTGTCCCCAGGTCAGCCCAGACCCCAACCCCCGAGCAGGCCAGCAGACTCACCTGGTTCCCCCTTGGGCCCCGGCAGTCCGTCGTGCCCGTCCTTCCCGGGGGCCCCGGGCAGGCCCGGCATTCCTGGGATCCCATAGCAGTCCGTGCCCGCCTGGGCCCCAAGGGGCAGTGCCAGCAGGAGCAGCAGCAGGGTTAGGCCAAGGGGGCGCCGGCAGCTGGGCCGCATGTCCATCCTGGGGAAGGAGCCGGGTGGGAGAGAGCCGGGCTGCCCACCTGCCCCTCACCTGCCCTGCCCGCCCTCCCCCTGCCTGTCAGCCGTCAGGAGCCCAGCTCGTGTCCCTGCCATGGCTGGATGGGGCCGGCCCTGCAGGGAGTGGCGCGCTCCTTCCTCGCACAGACCAAGCGGTCCCTGGCACCCTGTTCAGGAAGGTGGCAGGGGACACACCGCCATGTGCCCTTACCTGGACAGGGTCCTGGCCTCGCTGGGGTGGGCGGTCTGGCCGGGTCACAGAGAGGTCCTCAGGCCTCCTCCCTCTCCCGGGCAGGAGGACACCGCCGTGCAGAGTGGACGGGCAGGGATTGTCCAGAGCGGCCGGCCCCTCTCCCCCCTCCCCCCCACATCCCCTTTCCCACAGATCTCCCTGACTCGACACTTTCTTCTGGGTGCTGAGCCAGGCTGGCCACAGTGGCAGCCCTGCCACAGCCCCTCCCAGTCATGGGTGTCTGAAATGAGGAAATGTGCGCTGGCCGCTCCGGCATCTGGGTAAGAGAGTGTGTATGTGTGCGTGTGCGTGTGTGTGTGTGCGTGTGTGTGTGTGTGTGTGTGTGTGAACACAGGACCTGGGGAGGCACAGTCGTCCCCCAGAATCGGGTCCAGCCCATCTAATGCCCGATGTTGGTGTTTGCTGTGCCTGAGACTCGGTTTCCTCACAGTGTCCCTGGGAGGACATTATTATCCCCATTTTACAGATGAGGAAACTGAGACTCAGGGAGGTGTGACTCCTTGCTCAAAGCCACACACTGAGTGGTCTGTTGGTGTCCAAAGCTTTGCTCTGACCCCTCTGTTCAGCTATCCTGAGAAACAAGCCTCACACGCACCTGTCAAGTGGCAGGCTTTGTTCTAGAAACTTCCATGAGCCCCAGCCCAGTGGCCACACTTGGAGGACCTAAGGATGGCCTGGCTTTCATGGCCGCAGCTGCGACAGTGCTCAGGCCGCCCTGGCTACAGAGTCAGGCCTGGCTTCTCCTTCCCCGAGGTCTTCAGCACACAGCCCTGGCCCCAGGCCTCGGTCTCCCCTTCCGTACACTGGGGGCCTGGCTTCGAGGTTTGCCGCCTCTTCCTTTGACGATGGATGGTCCCACCATCCTGCCATCTCCCGCTGCTCGCCTGCCCCCCCGGCACCCCGGTCTCTGGGCCTGGAGCCCGCGTGGCTGTGAGCGGCTGTCGGTGGGGACCAGGCCGCGGAGCCGAGGGAAGCCGCCACCCCACCCTCTCCTCCTACGGGACTCTAGGGACCCAGGGCCGCAGGCAGCAGAGGGGCCCGACCTTGACCTCACGCCTGCCACCGTGGGACCTCCCGGAGTGTGGGTCCCCCTCTGTAAAATGGGGGCTTCCTGTCGCTCCGTGCATGTGGTGAGCACAGTGCCTAGCCCTGTGCCCGGCACTGGCAGCGGGGAGCCCTGCCCCGCCTCACCCAGAGACCGGGAGACCCGCAGGGCCTCAGCCTGCCCATCTGTGCCTCCACCCTGGAACGTGGGGCTGCAGAGCGTGGGGCAAGGCCAAGGTCGCCGACACACTGGCCCTGGGAGTCCCGGGCAGGCAGAGGCCGGGGACAGCAGTATGGGGGTGGGTGCCACCCAGTCCGGTGGCACGGCTCTGTCCTCCCTCCTCACCTCGCCTGCGCCCGGCTTGTCCAGCAGGTGGCAGCCTCGGCCCGCGCTCGGCTCTCCCCTGCCCCTCCCGCCTGGCCGGCTCTGGCTCTGTCCCTTCTCGCGGGGACCAGACTTTGCCTTGGTGAGCCGCAGCGCTGGGGCGGGTGTGAGCAAGATCTGGGTGAGGGGCAGCCGGGCACTCCCTGCACCCGCCACTCCTCTAGCCTGGCCTCCTCGGCTCCTCCGGGGCCCCCACCCCTGACACTTTCCTCGAGTCCCACTGCAATGAGAGAAGCCACCCTTCGGGGCCGGCAGACCTGGTTCAGACCTAGGCCCCTCGCTTCTCTGGCTGTGTGACCTTCGGTCGGTGGCCCCAGTGTCCTCCTCTGTTCTGCTGGGACTGAAGGCACCGGTGGCTCTGGGATGTCCAGCGCACGGTTGGTGCCCAGAGATCCGTCTTTCCCCAGCCCGAGGGGTGGGGAGGGGGGCAGAGCAGGCACCGGCGGGTAGAGAGCCCAGGGCTGTGGGCAGTGACAGCGCCTGCCTCCCGAGTGTGTCTTGTGGGCGTGAAGGGTGGCTAGCGTGCATGCCGAGGCGTGTGCACGGCGTGTGCTGGGGGGGCCTCACCTGGGGGAGCGCATGCGTCTCGGTCCAGGGATGTGGGTCCACGTGCATCCCAAGGGAGGTCTGTGTGTGCATGTGTGTGATTTGTGGGTGTGTTGGTGTATACAGCACACAGATAAAACCAGCTTCCTTTGGGAAAACTCACGGGACATTGGACATGCTCAGGACTGAGCTCCTAATTTCCTCACGCACGAAGGACATGGTGGTTTGTGGCCTTTGAGCAGCCCCCGGATGGGTTGAGTGGGACCCTGGGAAGGCATGGTGAACATTGGAGGTCCTCCCGGCTGCCAGCCCAGGCGGGGGTCCCAGCAGGCTTGCCAGGGTGCAAGCCCAGGGCCGGACGCAGGAAGCTTCGCTTTGAGGACTGCTGGGTGCCTGGGGCCAGGTGCTTCCCCGCTCCGGTCCCGCCCCCAGCCCTCCCAGCCCTCCCAGCCCAGGCGTGGCAAGGCACCTGCGTGAGGCTGGGGAGGCCGGCAAGGGTGGGGGTTACACACACAGGCCCAGGCCTCAGTAAGACGCAGGTTCAAGTCCCAGATCCTCCCCTTAGACACTAACCTGGGGCTTTACGCTCCCCTGCCCCCCGCCTCGGTGCCATCATCCGTAAGGTGGGGTCCTCATACCCTCCTCAGAGCTCGAGTGTAAAGATTAAACAGAATATAATAATAGCTAAAACCCCAAGCTCTTACGAACCAGGAACTGCTCTACGATGTTCGTATATTAAGTCATTTAATGCCCCCAACCATCCTTCGAGGTGGGTGCTACTCTTAGTCCCCCCTTGCAGATAAGGAAACGGAACTTATATAACATGCACGTGATCAGACAACGCGTAAGTGGTGGCGTCAGGATTCGAACCCGGGCAGGCGAGGCAGCCAGGACCTGCTAAACAGGAAAATCATGTGAAACGCTGAGGCCGAGCCGGCCCCTCACGCACTCAGTGATCACGACGGCCCTCCCCCCGCCTCCCAGTGCGCAGAGCGAGCGGCAGCCACACCCGGAGCCCGGCAGCGCACAGTCAGACGTTTATTGCGGGGAGAGCTCTCAGAAACGCCCTTGCCAGGGCGGCCGGCGGGGCAGCGAGTCCTGGGGCGCTGGGAGCGCGCCCCGTTTGTAGAAGCCAGAGGGCCCGGGCCACGCCGGCGGCTCAGGTGGACGGGAAGATGAGGAAGCCGCTGAAGACGCTGTCGGCCTCGGAGCCCTGGTAGATGCGGCCCTTGACGGGGTCCCTCTCGATCCAGACCTGGTCGCCCTGCTGCAGCGGCAGCACCGTGCCCCCCGACACCACCTGCAGCAGCCCCTTGCTGTTGGCGTCGCAGAAGCCCAGGGAGCGCCGCACCTGGCCCCTCAAGGAGGACACGATGGACAAGCAGATGTCCCACTTGGACACCACCTGGAAGGTGAAGTAGTAGTAGCCGGGCACCGCGCACACGAACCGGCCCGAGTTGTTCTGGTACCGGCCCTCCTGGTTGGTGATGACCGTGTCGAAGATGACCACGTTGCCGCCCGTCGGCGGGCTCCGCCTGATGGCCGAGAAGGCCGGCCGCGGCTGGTCCTTGATGTTCCCTGGGTTGCCTTTGATGCCCTTCAATCCTGGGACGCCACGGTCCCCCAGGGGGCCGCTGGGCCCCGGGTAGCCCACCTTGCCGGGGCTTCCAGGGGCCCCAGACTCCCCCTGGTCTCCTTTAAGGCCCCGGATGCCTGTCCGGATGCCAGGGGCCCCTGCGGGGAGAAATACCAGATCGAGGGTCCAGCGCCCACCAGTCCACAGGGAGAGGCCTGGACCCCCTGCGTCTGTGGGATGGAGGGCAAGGAAGTGCCTGGGCCTTCAAGACATCCATTCTGACTGGCTGTGTGACCTTGGGCAAGTGTCTCAACCTCTCTGAGCCTCCCCTTCATCTGTGAAATGGAGAGAAGTGTGAACTGGCACTTCAGAAAGTGTTGAGTTCTGGGAACTGCAGCACACTCTGGCTGCTCCGCTGTGCTCCTGCCCATGGCTGTTCCCCCCACACCCCTCCAGGCTGTTGACCCTACTTCCTCAGGTTTGGGGACCACATGTAGGATGCCCAGATGCAAAGTAGTGCAAGCGTCTATGCAATCCTTCTGGTCTGCCATGGACTGGAGGCTCAGGGGGATTACAGGAGACTTTCCTTTCCCACTCTGGTCATGACAGCCTCCCCCGTTTTCCATCACCCCTGGCCTTTTTTTTTTCTAGAACATGAGAGTTTCTGGAGCCTGAAGGGGCTGGGGAGAGGGAAGCAGAGGCAGAGCTGGGGGTGCTGGAAGGAAGCAAAAAGGATAGTTGCAGTCAATTGGTCCCTTCTATGTGCCAGGCCCAGTTACTTCTCCGTTTTATAGATGAAACTTAGCTCAGAGAGGGTCAGTAACTTGCCTGATGTCACGCAGCAAGCCAGAGGCTCCTGAGACTAAAATCTGGGGCCTAATCATGTGGCGACTGGACAATGACCAAGGGCTGGGCATTGCCTCCAGACCTTTCACACTCATTGCTCAACGCCGCCCATGCTCCAGAGGAGGGAGGTGAGGACAGAGAAGGGGTCCAGGCAGTCAGGGGATGCGGAGTCCTGGGGCCTGGGGACGTGCGCAGGGAGAAGGCTGGGCCCCAGCCCCGGGGCCAAGTGCGAACTGGAAATGCTCCCTGGGGTGGGGGCGGGTGGACTCCTGCTCCTCAGGCCACCCCCAAGCCTCCACCCTGGAGGCCGGGCCAAGGCCGGAGGGGCCGGGTGCAGAGGGAGGTGCTTACCCGGCTCCCCGCGCTCCCCCTTGAGGCCTGGCCGCCCGGGTCGCCCAGGTTTTCCCGCGGCCCCGTCCTGCCCGTTGGGTGCGCGGCACACGTCCTGTGTCACCGCCGAGGCCAGGGTTACGGCCAGGACACAGACCGCCAGCCATCTCCAGGGGGCCTCCATGACGGCACTGCGGAGACACGGCAGGGCCCGGGCAGGCCGGACGTGCTCACGCACACGCAGCTCACACCCTCGAATCCCACACACACGGGATACATACAACCCCCCCACAGCGCACACTTGCCCGGAGGGCCCTCGCCGTCCGCTCCCAGCCCGGCTCCCGGGACCCCACGCAGACACACGCGTGCAACTGAGCACGCCCATCTCATCACACAGACACACGAGCACGGCCTCTCGTGCAGGCACGCACGAAACACGGCATGCAAACGCAAAAGCCCGCTGCACACTCCCACACATGCAACGACACCCGAATAGACGCCATCGCTCACTCGGCTGGACACACACATTCATACACTCCCACAGATGATCGATTTCATTGAGCAAATATTTATTGAGCGCCCGCTCCTTATTTAATTAGCACCCTCTCCCGCAGATGGCGGGGCCGTGCGTGCACACGGGAATCCACAAACACCCGGCGCGACACCTGCTCCTGCTCCGCACGCCTGGCTCTTTGCAGGCGTGCGGAGGACAGGCAGCTGGCTGCCCCACCACCCCCCTGCTGGGTCCCACTGCTGGCTCTGGCACCCCCAGCCTATCCCCAGCTGCTTGCGTTTTGGGGGCCAGGACCCAGGCACCCTGGCTGGAACTGAAGACCCCCAGGTGGTGGATCTGACTCGCCACCTCCCAGCCTCCCCCAGGCTCTGGCCCAAAGAGTTAAGGTCCCTCCATTCACCCATTCTGGGCCATGAATCCGTGCCCCCTCAATCTCTGTATCTCCCTCCCTCCCTGTCTCTGTTGTCCAGCCCCCTGGGCCAGCTCCCCCGACCCCCGAATCTCACTCACAGCCCCCTCCCTTTCGGGCTCTGGCCTCACCTGCCTCTGGTTGTGGACTCCAACTGGACGCTCCTGCCCTCCGCCCAGGGCCTGAGGGACACCCAGCAGGAGTGGCGCCAGGCTGCAGCCAAGTTTCACATCCCTCCCCACTTCCCCTTCTCCTCTCCAGGCCTGCCCCCTGAACTTCCCCAGGGCCAGCAGCTTGCCAGGAACACTTTGAGCAGACCTCAGCAAGACTGAGAGACGGGGCGTCCTACCCCAGCGACAGCTGCTGTGGGGGCGGGGCGGCGGGCGGGCGTCTGCAAGGACAGGGCGGCGGACAGGTGCCGGGCGAGGCTCTGAGCACCAGAGACGCGCAGGACATCAGAGCGGAAGGGATCTTTTTAAAAATCAGTCACTTGTAGGACTTTGTCACGATTATGAAAGAAACACGTGTTCATTGCCAGAAGCTGGGAAATCACAGAGAAGGAAGAACAGCGCGTTGGAAGGAGAAAGCAGCACCCCAATCTGTTTCTGGACTTGCCACTTCCTAGCTGCATGACTTTGAGAAATAACTTGACCTCCAGGGCCCTCAGTTTTCTTATCTGTAAATTGGGAATGACAGATTCTGCCTTAGCAGATTATTATAACATTTTAATGACATGCACATAAAAAGACTCGGCATATGGTGAATGTTTAATCATTGGCTTTTATCAACACGTTGAAAAACAGCAGCACAAGCCTGTGAATTCTACCATCTAGAGATAATTGCTGTTAACGTGTGAATGCATCATATGGCCTTACTCATCCTCACTGACGGTTCGCTCATTACCTGCCAGCACGGCGCACTTCCCCGTTGTCAGCTTGGACCCTGAGGACACTTTTCTTTAGAGTAAGTGTCTCTGTCTGTCCCAGACGGGGGACCAGTGTGTTCGGGCCTCGGCTGACCACCTCTCTCTGCTTCCTTTCATGAGCATATTTGTGTGTTCTGAGAATTTTGCCAGAGGGAGGAAGAGAAGAAGAGGAGAGAGCAGATAAGGGGAGGCGGCTGGATATGGGCAGATGAAGGATGGTCCAGAGCCAGGGTTTTCCAGCTTTGGGGACTCCTTTTTCGTTTGCAATCTTGTGTGACGTCAACATATATCAAACTGATACACATGGGGACGCTTTGGTTGAAGCGAGGGGACCCAGCGCTCCACCTGCCAGCCTCTCCCTAGAGCCCCAGCCTCGGGAAGTTAGTACAGCCAGAATCTCTCCGGCTCAGCCCATACATAGCTCACTGTGTGACCTTGGGCAAGTTACCTAACCTCTCTGAGCCTCATTTTCTCCATCTACCCAGATGAGAGAGTGGGTGGGAGGAGGACGTTTGACCCAAATGGTCTCTCTCATCCCGTCCAACATCGATCTTCTTTGCTGGCACCGTGCCAGTCTCGTTTCCTGCAAGAGGAGTTAGACACGTGGCACGCCAGCGCTGGAGGGCCAGCCCCACCTGCCCAAGGCCACACAGAGAGGGGCAGGGCTGGCATGAGGAGGAATCAGACACTGTGAAGAACTTCTCGAACTATAGTTTTCAAAATATTAAATACCCAGTTCTTACAGAAATCTAGAGTGAGAGAACATGTCAATTTTTTTTTTTTTTTTTTTGTAGCTTGTTAATGAAAGAACCAGCAGGGTGGTAAAGCTAGTTCAATGGATATGAAAAAAATGATATGTGCCTAGAGAGAGAAGAGAGATCCAACAAAAACAATGACAAGAATTCTGGAATATTCATAAGATCGTTAGATACAAAACTGGTTAAATGTTCTGCCGGACAATAAAATCATAACTTTGGGGTTATCTTCTCTACTGGAAAAAAAAAATCATTTGCATTTCTACCAGACAAAAGGAATTTGCAACTTATCAGCTTCCTACCAGCTAGCAGCCATCTGTACAGAGTCTGGGCCCTAAATCAATAGTAAGTAATAAGCCGAGCAAAGTGACATTCCCCGAGAGTGTCAGATGACCCTTAGGAGGGCTCGTTAGATGCTGCTCTAATTTGACTTTGAAAGGACACCAGTTATCTATTTGCCTGATTTCCAAGTGTTGGATGATTCTGCTTATCAGGTTGTTGCAAGGGTGTAAACACTTCCCGAGAAGTAAAGGACATCAATAGTAAGGCACGCACACCGTTAGTGTGAGAAGTAGAAGAGTCAGCAATAGCCGTGTGAATGTCACAACGGGGCACCTTTGGTCAGATGGGGTGGGCGTGGGGTGGGCGTGCTCTTTCATTTCTCCAGAGCTCAGACTCCTGGGGGGGGGGCGGGAGGCGTAGGGACAGAGGAAATCCTCAGTTACACTCCCAAAGTCGAGTCCGCGAGGCTCAGTCTCAGAGTGGGGTCAAGGGTCTAAGAAATAACCAAAAAGTAATTTTTAATTACTCAAATTCTTTAGGGTGGAGTCACATCTCCTTTGAGCGTTGGTTCCAAAATCCGCAATAATAGGCAAGCATTTGTACACAGTCAAGGTTATTGTAGGAAAAAAGAAAATCTTAGGAAAGTGCCATGTTGGAGACACATTGTCATTTCACAGTAGTCTTGTGCTGTCAGTTTTGGCTTTGATGTTAGAACAGATTTCAGTAAAGCACCAGTCGGCTAATGTTAACCAACGCCCTCCCCTCCCCCACAGCATACACACAAAGAAATTGGATCTTTAAAGATGGAGCCGGCTGGGCATGGTGGCTTGAATCTGTAATCCCAGCAGTTTGGGAGGCCAAGGCAGGAGGATCACTTGAGGCCAGGAGTTTGAGACCAGCCTGGGCAACACAGTGAGACCTCGTCTCTACAAAAAAATTTTTAAAAACTAGCTGGGTATGGTGACAAATGCCTGTAGCCCCCTCTACTCAGGAGGCTGAGGTAGGGGGATTACTTGAGCCCAGGAGTTGGAGGTTACAGTGAGGTATGATTGGGCCACTCCAAAAAAAAAAAAAAAAAAAAAACAGATGGTGCCACACTCTTGGCAAAGCGTTTAGACCAGAGAAGAGCTCACAGGAGCTGAGGCAGGACGGCAGATCTCTTCCATGCCTGCACACTCCAGAAATAGGCTCCTGGAGGGAACACCCCCTACCTTATTTAAATTGCTATTTCTAGTTCTTTCGCTCTCTGAATCTTATTAGGCAAAGTGCAGATAGTCAAATATGTATATAATGTGACTCTGAGGTTCTTGTATTTCTTTTTTCTCTTTAACAAAATTGAGGCATAATTTGCATAGAGTAAAATGCACAAACCTTGAGCACAGTGTTCAGCGGCTCACACACGCACACACACCCTCTTCCCCCACCCACATCAGAATGTGCTTTTCCAGCTCCCCAGCCAGTTGCCTCAAGAGTGCCTTCCTACTCAACAGTGCTCCCCTCCTGCTCAGCAGTGCTCCCCTCCTGCTCAGCAGTGCTCCCCTCCTGCTCAGCAGTGCTCCCCTCCACCTGCGAGTAGCCAGTGTTTCTGCCTGTTCTTGAACTTCATGTCAATAGAATCATACGGCAGGTGCTCTTCCGCGTCTGGCTTCTTTTGACGAGCATGCTTGTTCATCCTACACGAGGTTCACCTGTGCTGTGTGGGCCAGTTCAGATGGCTTGCTGAGTGATGTTCCATTGTCTGCACACACAGTATCACACTGTATCTATCCTCCTGTTGGTGGGTAGTTGGGGCTACGATGAAGAAAGCTGCTAAGAATGTTCTCGTGCAAGCCCTCTGCCCCGCCTGGCCCCGTGACCATACGCACTCAGCTCTCTGCTGTACGTCTCACCACCATAGAGTTTACACCAAGGGGGGCAAGACTTTACACCCATGCTCCTGGCTCCCTCACGCCCACTGCCCCAGACCTGCCTCTTCAACTTCCCCTCCCCACCCAAAACTCCCCCGGACCCTCTGCCTGAACCACTCTCCTGCGCGCTTCTCATTCCCAGCCAGGCTGTCTCAGCCTCCTCTTTCTTGCTAAACCCTCTTCCCGGGCCTGTCGGGCCTCCCCCTCCATTCCCAGTCCCCACCACCCAGCAGGATCAGGGTTTGGCTGGTGGTGCGGGGCTGGGGACCTGGGGAGGGAGCTGTCTCGGGAGAGCCCTCCGCACATCTTCCCTGCACATTCTTTATTCTTCGCCTCTCTCCGCAGATAAAAGCACTTCTTGGGATTGTTTTATGAAACACAGAAGGGGCCGTAAACAACAAGTCATTTGTTGCAGAGATGGAGGCGGTGTGGGTTCAAGTTCAGCAACTGTCTCTCTTCGGCTGTGTGATCGTGCAGGAGCGACCCCCTGCATCATGGGGGGCTCCGGTGGGTGCTTCACCTACAAACTGAGGGTAATTGACCTCAGACTGTGCCAGGCTTCCGGAGAGCAGCTGGGCTTGTCTCTGGCATGTGGCAGGCCCTTAGCAAAAAGGTCCCATCCCCTCCTTTTTCTCTCCCCTGTCACGTGGAAGGCCGGTGCACAATGACCTGTTGAGAAGTTTGGTGGGGAAATGTAAAAAGAAGACAAAACAAGCCAAAAGTGATTTCTTTGGGGGAGAGTGAAGAAAAATGGGGAGAAATCGAGCCCCCCTAACCCATGGTCCCAGCTGTCCTGGTTGCCCGGCAGGGAAGGAGCCAGCCTGGGAGGGCCGGGGCAGCCGCTCTGGGAGGAGCTCCCCATGGGCACAGCTGGTGGAAGCCACCAGGCTGCAGCAGGTGAGATGTGCAAAGATTATGAGGATTAGGAGAGAGTTTGGAGAACAAACAGAGCGGCTTCGGGAGCCAACAAGGAAGTATTGCCTCCACCTTGGAGGGGTGGCCTGGGGCAGAGGGGCCCCTGCAGCCTGGGAATGTGGCACCCAGAAGGCTGAGATAACGCTGGGTTCCCAGCAGCTCACATAGGCATGAGGGTCACAGGAGAGTGGCCAGGGAGAGCCCCAGGAGCCCCTGACTTCTATCAGGAGAGGCCATTGTGGACTAGAGGCAGGGGACTGGGGTCCTATTCCCAGGGCTGGGTGTCCTTAGATAAGTCACCCCCCTGGGTCTCAGTCTCCCCATCTGTGAAAACAGGGGGGGAGTTGAACCAGAGCAGTGGTTTCCTTGGAGCAGAGTCACCTGGGGGAGTGGTTAAGAATAACATTGCTGGCTGGGCCACGCCTGCAGTCCCAGCTACTTGGGAGACTGAGGCAGGAGGATCACTTGAGCCCAGAAGTTTGAGGCTGCAGTTCATGCCACTGCACTCCAGCCTGGATGACAGAGTGAGA